TCAACGAGGCAAACAGTCAACTTGCTACTTTATCTTGTACAATCACCACTAACCCAGAAACTTAATCTAATCAATTGTGGTACATATAATAAAATAAATATTTTAACACACCCTTCATTTGTGAGTTTGAAATTTTATCCATCAAGTGAAAGTCAACCTTAATTAGATAGTAAATTACAATTACAAGTTCAAACACAAGAACTCTTATTAAATCACCGCAGAACTTCAGTTTAATCTGTTGGGCTAGCTTAAAAATTTAAGTAGACAAATATATGTATATATATATATATATATATTCTGGTAAATGAATAGGTTAGAGCAGCTGGACTACGGAAAAATGAACTTGCAGATGAGGAAATAATGAGGAGACGGGGAGGAGAGATCAGTAAAGGCGATAAATCGCAGTCCTCTTCTACAAGCGACTCTTAAGCAAAGAAAACAAGATGATACGAAGCAAATTCGCATGAAAATTGATAATCTGAGTTCTATCCATCACAAGCAAACTCCATCAAGTAATAGCAAGGTTCATTGTGAATATATAAAAATAGAAAACACCCAGAATGCGAGTATAAATCTGTGTACATTCCAGCGCAAATAGAAGAAGATGGGGAGTGGAATGGGTCTTACAAGGTAGAGATTGGGCGGAGGTAAGAGAGGGCGTTGAGCAAGGAATAAGCATATCTTCTGCAAATACAATGGCGGAAAACGCTATGGCATGGCCGTTTTCCTCTTATTCCGACGGCATTATCTTCAATCTTCTAGCTAACATCATATGTTATCTCATCTCTTATGCCGCCCTTTTCCAAATTTCCCGAAATGCCATTTACCCCCCTATCCTCCTAAATGACCCATCTATGCCCCTTACACTATTTATTATTATTATTTTTTTAATACCTCAGTTATTTATTTATTTATTTAGAAAATAGGCTTTTGAAAAATAAATATGTTCAAAATAAACATATGTTTCTATTGAGACTTGCTTTTATTAAAGTTACCAATTAACTTTTAATAAGACATTTTTGTTTTATTTTATTTTTAAAAAATTATTATTTTTTATTAATATGAGGATAATGAGAGCCTACCTAACACTCAAATGGAGTCTACTTCTCAAATGGAGTTCAACCTAACAACTTTATAACAAGGTCAATCGTGCGAATCCTAATGAACTCTCCAATAGTGCCTTGAGGGTGCGTGAGGAGCCTTGTTTAATTGAGACTCCAAATTTTGTTTATTTTAGAGTATATTGAATGAAATAAAACATAAATAAAAAAGTAAAAACAAACGAGAACCTGAGTCATTTTCATTGAGATAACTATGCATGAAATTCATATAGCAAGAGCTAGACCACATCCAAACTTATGTTATGTTAATATATTCAAATCAATAACTTATGTCCCATCCAAATAAAACCCTTTTCATTTGTGGCAAAGAAAAGGTTCTCCGTTCATCTTAATTTTACCATAAGATTTCTCATTGTCCATTCCTATCTCACTCCCCTCCGTTCATCTTAGGGAGAGGATTAGGCAGACCTAACCAACCTATGAACTCACCAAAACAAAATTTCCCATCCATACACACAACAAAACACAATATGGGATCAACGTTCAATCGGCAACACCGCCGCCCATGGGTTGAGGGGCATGGAGGGACGCTGTACACCAGCAGCCGCTGCTGGATGGCAGGTGGTGGAAGAAGATGAGGAAACTGCCACACGCTCACACTGAGGACACATGGTGAGGGTGGTAGGAGGATTCATGTGCATATAGAGCTGTGGAGAAAGCTTGAGCGCTCTCAACTCCTGCACCTCCTTCTGCAGCCTTCTGTTCTCCCCTGTTAGATTCTCGCAGCACCTCTTCAAGTACTCGCAATCCACTTCTGTCTGCTTCAGTTTCGTCCTGCCCACCCAATTTCCACACCAGTTAATCCCACACTAAACTACATTATTCACATTCTACCACACAATTCAAGGCTCTAAAATCAAAATAAAACCTTCTCTTCACAATTTTGACCTTCCTACTAAAAAACAGAGGCAGAGCACCTATTAATTGCGAAAGCAACGACTCCTCCGCTTTTTACGAGGAGACGGTTCTAGCAGCCCTGGATACTGAATGAATTGACTTCTAAGTTCTGAAACCAAGCAGACTAAAATGTCCATACTACCCCGAGTTTGTAGTGAAATTTACTTACCTTGCCCTTCTGTTTTGAAACCACACCTCCACTTGTCTTGGTCTCAGATTCAGCTGCTTCGCAAGTGCCAGCTTTTGCTTCTGACATTTACAAAAATAAAATAATAAAGGAACCAATCAATTTAAAGGTAACGTAAATGTAACCGAGATTCTAGATAAACCCGTAATGTCAATAGAGTGCAATTACATCTTTTCTTACAACTCAACCGGATAATGACTAAAACACCCTCGTGAAACTCAATAGTTACCCAAATTGCCACAAGTCATTTACATGAAGTAGAGAGAGGAATCGTACGAAATTACCAAATTACCACTTACTGGATTGAGAGTATTGTGCTCTTTGAAGGTCTCCTCAAGAACCATCGACTGCTCCTTTGATAGCCTCAGCTTCTTTCTCGAGGCGTCGCCGCCTCCGCCGTCTTCATCATCGCTCCCTTGCGAGCACGAGGCTCTCTCGGCCTCAGCCTCAGCCTCAGCCTCCGCCTCCGCCTCGGCTTCTCTCTCGCTCCTCTTTCCACTGATGCTAGAAACGGTACTGTTCGGAGATGAAACGCCGTTCTCTTCCTCGCCGTCCACGACAGTCGGCAGCCGATTCACGTCGATTCCCCTAAGAAACGACCTAGAATCGGCATTTCGATCTAACCGGAAAAAATAAGCCAAAAATACAGAACCGACGGTTCAGAAACTCAATCGAACGAATACTCGTAAATTATCAAAATCATCAGTTCTCTAAGAAACGACGACGAAAATCGCGAAATCGGAGCAGAATCTTCGCATGAGATACAATCCTTCAAATCGTAACGGATCCAACACAAAAAACTCCGAAGAAACACAGTAGAGCAATAGATAAAATGCAAATGAAAAGATAAGAAGACAGGAAATCAATAAACTACCAGAAAATTGAAAGAGCTCATTCCAAGAACCATTGCGGATGTGATTATGCATGGAGTTCGATGGCCTGTGAATGTGAGTCGGCTGAAAAGAAGGCCGAGTCGTAACTCCCAAACCTAAACTCAAAGTCAGCCGCAACTCGTCATCTCTCCCGCCCATTCTTTGTTCCTCCAAGAACCGAAGACTACACAAACAGAACGAAATGGCCCAATATGCAGTGATGGAAAATATATAGGGGAGAGAGAGAGAGAGAGAGAGAAGTGGAAGTAATTAATTAGTGTTTGGATTCCGGGAAAGCAGAGAGGAAAGAAAATGGTGGGAAAAATGGGGAGACGGTGCAGCAGGGAGATGTCATAGCTTTTGCTGGTGATTGGCAGCAGAGTAAAAGCATGGATGGGACTATATATATAGATACAGGCAGAGAGAGAATAAATAAATAAATAAATATACATATATATAAAAAATAAAATAAGAGAGAGAGAGACACGAGGGGTGTAGATGTAATCATCGCTTATGTCAGAGAGGCTATTGGCTCAATCATGATAAAATGGCTTTTTTATGAACACCCCCCCACTCTCTCTCCTCTCTCTCTCTCTCTCTCTCTCTCTCAAGAAACTAACCATGGTTACATCAATAGAGTTTTACCATGGTTAGCCCGCGAAGCAGTTCTGTTGAGTTTTTTTTTCTTTTTAAAAGAAAAAAGAAAAAGCGGCTTTCCCGCTGGTTGACCGAGTACACGTCCACGCGCAATAAATTATCAGATGATGATTATGCTACTCAAGATCACGTGGAGTGGGGCCCATCCCTTGACAGCTCCACATCACAAGGCAAATTGGTTATATCCAAAGGTATTTTCAGGCGTCGAAGGGCCCACATGATGCGCCCAGAGAGCGTGGATTAAAAGTGCGCGTGGAGTTGGAGGCATTTTGAAATGCTCCTTCCAATAAAACGCTATCACATGCAAATGCTCCTTCCAATTTAAACCATGTAATAAATAAAAGTGTGGAAACATGGGATTTGACTTCTGGAGCCCAATTCCATTGTGAATTATTATTCCAATCCTCGATAAAAACTATAATAAATACAATTTAATATCTACATATATTAATAATTAATATATGAATATATAAGTTAAGAGGTTAATTTTTCTGTATTTTTGTTCATTTATGATTTAATAAAAATAAATAACAAAAAGAAATGGATGGGCTATTTCACTCATGTATGGACCATTTTGAAGGGGAAAGCTTCTAGAATCTGGATGATAATGGAAGCCTACTCGTTCCAACAATCAAGTCTGAGGAAATCGATTCCTGTGGGCCCACATTTATTTTTCTTTTCCCTCTCAACTATTTGTGCAATTAAAATTAAAACTAAAGTTAAATGGTTACAGATCTCTTAATCTCTATCACCTTTGTCTGTAAATGATATATACATATTTTTATTGAAGAAAAACAACTTTTGTACATAAACCGATGATATTAGTAGAAGTTTAAATAATTTTAATTAAACAACGTAGAAGATGGGAGGTGGTGGGCGCGTGAGGAGGAGGATGAAAGAGAGAGAAGTGGGGGTCACGTGGGAAACATGCAGGAGGTCACATGCTGGATGGGGGACAACACGTGGTCCCATCATTGCACTCGTGTGTTTTGCCTTGTCTCTCCTTCTTCAGACAGCCCACTTGTCCACAATCATTGGATACTCTTTCATTCCACCCACGCGCCCACCCTCCACGCTCCCCCCTTCCGGCTTATTAATTTTAGAAAAACCTTGAATATGCAGATATTAGACACAAAATTAAATATATCTTAATTTTATTCACACTTTTTTGGGTTTAGGGTTGAGATTGCGAAGCATCTAATGCTTTTAACAATGTCACGCATAAAGAAAGAAAAAGGAACCCGAAAAGGAAATAAAACATACCCAAAATTGCGTATCTCCAAGTTCAGGCTCAGATATTGGCTACCTGCCCTTTACATATTTATTTCTATTTTAAGAACCAAAATTATAGATAATACTAATTTATAAATAATTAAGCCCACCAATTGTTCAAACCCACCATACTAACATTTCAGGCCCAGGTCCATTTACCACAGCCCAACCGCCGACACGCCTTCTAACTTCCCGACGGCGATGGCGACGGCAACAAAATGGGGAGGTCAGAGAAAAGCGAAACCGGACAAAAAGAGATGGAGGAGAACGGAGGAAGCGACGGTGTTAGCAACGCCCACTGGTGGTGGGCTTTGCCCGGCGCAACACAGCTTGGTTGGGGTATCGCCTCTTTTCGGCGAGGATTGATCGGCAATTCCAGCCTCATGCCCTTAAAGGCCTTCGCCGTTGCTTCGCTTTTCGTCGGCGGCGGCGCCTCGTGTGCCATCGCTTCCCTCAAGGCCTCTGGCATCCACAAGGTTCACTTCTTTCACACTGCATTTACCAGTCGCATTTCTTCATTTCTGGAATTAGGTTAGACGTTAATTCGGTACACTTGTCAATCTGGTTATGTACTCGTATCGGCATTTGCAGAATTAACTGACCAAACCAAATCCCATTTGTCAGTATACTGTGAATTTAGGTATTATTCAGGAGATATGCAAGTTAATTTTTAATTGAACTATCAATTTCGTTGAATTGAATACTGAAATGGAACAAGGAATGAACCTAATATAGGAGGAGTTCCACTCATTGTTGTGAGTATTAGTTTTTTAGGATACACTTTGTTGCTGATATTAGTCGTGTTGTTTACTTTGAGCATCTTTTTTCACCTAGCTTGATGTTAGAATTTAGTAAATTTTTTCACAGGATTTTGAGTATTGGATGGTTTATGCATAAATTTTGAATCCAGGGTTTGATTAGTAGTTTTTGGTTTTGGTTGGGGTGCATTGGAACAGGTGGAAGACATGATGGAAGTAGGGGCTAGTATTAGGAGTGGATTGGGGATTCGTCCAAGGCCACAAGATGAATGAATCTTATTATATTCTATGGGTAACCTGAGAACATCTTCTCCTTCACCTTCACCTTCACCTTCACCTTCTCCATCACCTTCACTTTCAGGAATCCAAATTCATACCACAGACGACTGTGCACCTTCTTTGATGGTGAAACAGTCACCAGGGGTCCGATTCCTTAATTAGAGGACTCCTGAAATTATTTTGTGTGTACCACTGAAATGGCATTAAGGATTAAGAACCTGTTGGCATCACTTTTTACTTCTCCATTACTTTACTTCACTGCTTACTTTTATATGTCCATGACCTTCCTTCGCTTACATTTCCCTTTTTTCCTTCTATTTTGGTAAAATCATCTTTTCTGAATCTGTCAATCTTGGTAAAATCCTCATGACTTCCAAGAATAGAATAGATTTACTGTGCGTAATTGACCTCATAAGCCTACTGCTATAAGCATAATCCCATCAAAGTTAGTGCTCACTTCTATAATAACTACACTACTCAGTACCCTTCTATTCTTTCAAGTAAAGCCTATCATCGGTGGCTTGGACAATATGCTTACTATTTTCAAGTAAAGCCTGTCACAACAGAGTTGATAGAAGAGGTAACAGCCATGGGCATCATGAATGAAAGGTACCATGTTTTATGAAAACTCATATACCTCTTGGGTTCCAATAAAGAATTATGCAATCAAATCTGAATATGCCACCTCAACGCCCCTGTCTAATTCACAAAATGAGGACTTAATTGGCTCCTGCACTCAAACGTACACTGTTTTGAACCAAATATTTTCACTTTATGACAGAATAGATTTCAAGAAACGATAGTTAGCTACTGAGAGACCTGGGGAATGCCTTTTGAAGCAAAAATCTAAGCTCAAGACTTTTGTCCCACAAAGCCTAAAACCATAAAAGGAAATGTTGTGTGAATCTTGAACACTATGGAACTTCGCTAATTGTATTCCATTGCACATAAAACTGAACCTATTCAGTAGAGCATGAAATGGAAGCATAGAAAAATATGACATACCCTTCGATTCTTCACTGCTTGACCTTTAAGAAGATCTTCATCACATCCTCTTCCACTTCTTCATTCTCAGAATTGTTGTCTTCGGCGCTCAAGTACTCCTCTTCCCCAACCTAGCTATAATGCTCAATGAAACAAGCTATGAAGTTCAAGGAAATAAATTACTCTATACCAAAAAACATACTAACATACAGAAAGTTCCAAATCATCCATGTCTTCAAAATGGTCAGACCCACTGGCAGCTGCTTGTGAGTTTCTCCCCCCTTTTTGGAAGCCGACCCCATCATATGCGATGAAGTCCAGAGGACTTGTAGGACCAATGTATTAAATTGTTAAACCTTGACAAACAAAGCCTATAAATGGGAAGCTGAAAGAAGAGAACATATGAAGAATCGTCGGTACAAAGGGAAAGTAAAAGGTTACAGCAGCTGACGAGAACAGAATGGGAAGAAGGGTCATTCAACCGAAGCACCTGATATTCACCCAACTTTCCTTTATGTAAACAGTCCTTAGACCACTTTCTCATACAATCTCACCAAAATGCATGAGTCATATAACAACAACACTCTCTCAACATATATCAAGATATTCGCAACAAAACCATCATCCTCATAAATCACAAGAACACATAATAACACTTCCAACATCCCAGTCATTACCATATCAGCACAAGAGTACAACATATTCGAATATTCAGAAACCTAACATTCTAAAGCAATATAAACAAGGTTCCAAGGGTAGAACTCAGTTCGGAACCTTATTCAGAGTTCTTCCAGAGAGTGTTGGGTGGAGAATTAATATTCTTACCCAAAACATTAAACCTCAAATCGAACACTTGGAATCAGTCCGGAACAACAAACAGAGAGATCCCAATAACTATTATAAACTAATTGACAGCACTAAAAACAAGTTCGAAAAGGGCCAAAGTGTGTGTTGTCACCTACTGAAACTTACCATACGGGTTCAAAACTTCGCTGGAAAGCGCGTTTGAATTGATTCGAACTACTCCTATTATCTTTTGAAAGCTGCCAAACAGCAGCATCAAATGCTTGCCGGTTGATCGAATAAGCTTAATCCCATATTTGAATTTGTAAGGGAGCGGGAAACCCAAAACTAAAGTCGGTTGGGTGTGGGAAAGTGCCAAACCATGTGGGGAAAGGGAGTAAAACGTCGGTATACTTGCCGAAATTGAAACCGAAATCGTGTGGGTGCCGCCAGAAATGGTCACAGATGTGGGAAAACACGAAGTAAAGGCAAAATGGTTGCTCTTTTTGTTTTGCTGTTTGGGTATGTGACGAAGTAAATGTTATATAATTATATTATGAATCTTCGCACTTTTCAAACGCAACTTTATACAAATAACCTGAAGATAATAATAAGTATTCGAACATTTTTGAAGTGGGTCCCACTCCAGAGGGAGTGTACTTGTATGAAGAGTTGCATCTACTAATATTGTGTTTATTGTGCTGATTAAGAGGTCTAATCTAAACCCTACACCTCTTAATTAAAACATTAAAAAAAAACTTTTTATTGATTGTTTGTTTGAAGCATGCAACTTGTTAACACACATTATATGTTTGATTTAAATGTTATTACATTTTAGTGATTTTTTTTTTTTTTTTTTTTAAGTAACGTTTTCCTACATTTGTGCAGGAGAGTTGAAGTTTTTATTATTAGAGCATTGAAATAAATATTAATATATATATAAAGAATTAAATTGAGAATTTAATCATAATTATTTGTGGGCAAATAAGGTAATATTGAAAAATTATGCAAGCGATGAATGCAGACAAATGGTCAAAGTTAGTTTGTTTAGAGGATGATTTTATCCCTTTGAAAGAAAAGAAAAGAAAAGAAAAGAAAAGAAAAGAAAAGAAAAGAAAAGAAAAGAAAAAGGTGTGGCCCAATTCCAGGTTTTACTGGACTCAAAACCTCTAATACGGTTACCCAATTTTAATGCAAAAAAAGTTACCTTATATTTGTTTACAGGAAGTCAACCATGAGTCCCCGTGCATCTTCAACTTCATTTCATTTTTGTTTTGTTTTAACAAGATTAATGCAATGTTTGGATATTGAAATTAACATAAAGGAAGAAGAAAATGGAGATTAATTAATGAAACAGTTCTCTAATTTATTGGACTAAAAGATACTTTTGATCTGATATGAGAACATGATGATAAGGGTGGTGGTGGCGCTGGCGGCGGAGGTGATTTGGATGAGTTGCTTCATCATCGCCCTCGGCAAAGCCTGTAGCGAGCCTTTCTGGCCTCGTACCTCTTACACCACATCGTCCTGCTCTCAATAGAAAACTTGGCTTCATCTTTCCCTTCCAGAATGATGGCTGGTATCGAAGACGCCACAAACACCACCTTCCCAAACAACGGCGGTTCCTTCCCTCCCTCACGGTAGTGCACATACACCCTCTCAATGCACGCTCCGAATTTTCTACATCAAAAGTTATATTTTACATCCAATTCTTTAACAACACAGAACAAACACACACACAAAAACAGGGCATGCGTGCGTGCGTACCGGGTGAAGAAGTGGACGATCTGGTGCTCAGTCAGCGGGTACCCATTGGAGAAGGTCAGAAACAGGCAGCGATCTTCCTCCGGCGCGGAATCGTGAATGGGGCTCCACTCCTTTGCATTTGGGTTGAGGTCACCTCCTCCGTTGGTAGTCCCCTCCTCCACTGCCTCCTTATCACCCATCTCTGCCTCCCTCTCTCTTTCTCTGTGTGCTGCGCTGTGTCTGTGGACTGTAAAAAAAGAAAAAAGAAAAAAAAAAAAAAAAAAAAAAAGAAAAAAGAAAGCGACTGTGTGGTTGGAGAAGGGAAGTGAAGCTGTGTGTTGTTGAACACAAGGGGAGGGATGTTGAGAAGAATATATAGAATGGAGATACGAGTTAGGGGAATGGACGGCGTTGGGAGAATTGTGGCATTGCTGAAAAGGAAACCAGGAACGGTCACAACATAAGAGTGCGATGCAGAGACACACAAACACACACAACACACACTCACTCATATATGAATCATTAGGAGTTTGTAAGCTTTAGCTTAAATGCATTGTCTCTCCTCTATGTCCTCCAAGTGTGTATTGCCCGTTTCACTGCATGCATTGTCTTTGGCCATTCCCCCTCATATTCCTTCATTCCTTTTCATTCTCTTTCCCTCCCTCCCTCTCTTCATTTTAAATTCCATTTCTACGCCCTCCCTTTCTTTTTTTCGACATCGAACCATTCTCACGAATAATTAATTGCTCGCCCGTCGAACATCGATTACAAATAGATTTAATATAACGTCTTTTATATATATAGTGTCATGGGGTTTCCATAAATAGCTTGTGTGTCGATCTACTTTTTGCATGCTCGTTCCATAATTTATTAGTTTTGTCGTATATGTTATTAATGATTGATAATAATATGTCGGATTGTCGGAGATAATTAGAAGGCGTTACCATTGTCGTGTACTTGTCGTAGAATCATTTCTATTGTGTTTTAAATGTAATCCTAGATCGGTTAACTATTTAAATATTTAAATGATCAAATTTATAATTTGATGGGAAAACCATACAATTACTCTCCATGACTATAATTTAATATTAAGATATTCACAAAAAAAAAAAAAAGTAAAAGGTAATTATGTAATGAAGATAAAAAAATATTTATAAAAAAAGAAAATATAAGGAAAATTGTTATATAAAGCGAGTAAATATATTATTTTAATGTAAGTAACCAGAAAAAAAGAAAAAAGGAATTAAAAAATAATTGGAATGAGAAAGCATCTTCCATGCATAAAGCGCAGAACAACAAGGACTATTTAAAATCCACTTGGGCAAACAGAATTGGTAGTTTTCGGATTATTATTATTATTTGTTTATTTATTTATTTATTTTTGAAAATACTGGTGCTTTCTGGATTATTCCAGGTTTGTACATATATATATATATATAATGAAGATGGATTGAAATTACCTTCCTCTCCTCCATGCCTACAGAACACCTCAAGTAAATTTGGATTAATTTTGATATATTAAAATAAAAAAGGTAAAAACATAAATAAGAAAAAAATTGATAATATAATGAGAAAATTGGTAGCGGTTTTACAAAGAAACTACTAACCAAATTTGGTAAAAGTTTGTAGAAACAACCAAAATACAACAAGTGTTTGCCACTAGCCCATCAAAAAAGCTCATATATCAATCACTTGCTTGCTTTAGCGCTTCATGCAAACACTTTGGTCAACCAAAGACAATATTTATTTTACAATTATATTTCATAATCTGATGTCATATAATATGCTCAAAATATTCATCTTATACCATCTTCTTATAACAACCAAACTTTTCATTTAAGACTTAAGGATGAATGGAGACTCATAGACATAAGAACAATAAACTTAATTATGACTTAGGGAGTAAATGATGCAAAAATTAAATGGTTGTGAATGAATAGTATAAGACATGTTGCATACATGCATGCCTCAATATCGAGATTAACTTACCATCTCTGTATTGAGTTGATGAGGTAGTCAATGTTGACCTTTAAATAACATATTTCTCTACACCACTTTAATTTACTCATTTAAGAAAAAGGAACTTGTAAATCAATCCACATCCAAGATTTGAAAATGTATGTGTGTGTATATATATATATATATATATATATATGTATGTATAAAATGAGAAGATGGGTTTTGGAAAGACCCACATGGAATTGAAAATAGGGATTGAGCTGTGCTGTGTGATCCGAGTCCTTCTTTTTGTACTCTTATTCTTTCTTTTCCTTCACACCACCAATCCAACCCATCCCGTTTCAAAGCAAAACACACACAAAAGCGTGTTCCCATGGTGGTGCCAAATTATACTTAACCACATTTACCCTTCCCTCCCCTCTCTCCCCATCATCAAATGGAACCATTTTCCAATCTCACTGAAGAATCGGATGCTAAAGCAACCACCTTTTGCACCTCTTCCTCTACCTCTTCCTCTACCTCTATCACCACCCCATGTTCACAGGAACGACAACCAGTTTCCCAGAAGAGAAATCAGAGGAGAACCCAAGAACAGAGCAACCACCCCATGTTCAGAGGAGTTCGAAAACGAAATTGGGGCAAATGGGTCTCTGAGATTCGCGAGCCAAGGAAGAAGACTAGAATTTGGCTTGGAACTTACCCAACGCCGGAAATGGCAGCCCGAGCCCACGACTCCGCGGCGCTGGCCATCAAGGGTCACTCTGCTTTTCTCAATTTCCCTGAATTAGCCCAATTCCTTCCTCGCCCGCTCTCCATGTCCCACAAGGACATTCAAGCCGCTGCGGCGCAGGCAGCGGCAGCCACATTTTCCGCCGGAACCAACCATGAAGGCGGAGGAGGGGAAGCAGCGGAGGAGAGCAGGGAGCCTCTGTTTCCTCGTAGCAAAGGCGCAGACAGAACAGAGGACTCCACAAACTCCACCGGCGATGAGACATTGTTCGATTTGCCTGATTTGTTCGTGGGAAGTTGTGATTTGAAAGATGGGTTTCTGCATCATTCTTGGTCGTGGCAGTTCTGTGCGGCGGCCGATAATAGCGGATTTCGGCTGGAAGAGCCTTCATTCTGGGAACTCATTTAAGTTCCCAATACTTGTCTTCATCTTTCAGTCCCATCAAAATTCTGTTTCCAGAGGTGATGTATTTTTGTTATGAAAAAGAAATGAATAACATAGTAAAAATAAAAAATACAAAAAAAATACAAAAAATGGAAATTTGGTCTTCCTAAACTCATTCCACACTTCTGATTTATGGTTAACCTTTTCTGAAGCGGGAGAAAAGTTTCTATTACCTTCTCTTTCAACGTTGGTAAGGTATCTACACTATATATTTCTCAATATTAATTACTATTATTATTTTTAAATTTAATGAAATAAATTATTTTAATAAAACTATTTTTTCTTCAATATTCGGCCATTGGAGTAAGACCGAAAATAATCCTAATTTTAATGATTTGGATTGTTCTGATTATGTATTTATATAGATATACCTAAATTTGACAAATAATTGGACTACTAAAACTTTAAAAATAAAAAATAAAAAATCAAATATTTTGATTGATAGTTTAAAAGTCTAAACTATACCTTCATAATCCGGCGATCCACAGTTAAATCTACCAACTAAATATAGGTTGAAATTTGGCTATTAACTCGAACAAATATATATCAATTATCACAAATATGGTCAATGTTAAAATTTAAACTTCAAATCATCCAAATATATCCACACGATATTATATGATGTGCTTTCTCCATCAAGTTTTGCAAGAGGACCAAATAAAAACACAAGTTCATCACATCAAGGCAGCTGGCTGCTATAGGAAGCAGAGAGAGTAGTTGAATTGCAATTTTCCAACAAGTAGCAAACATAGAGACGTCATGTTCATACCATGAGACATTTCAATTCACAAGGTCCGGTGGTAAATGAGCTCATTCATGTTTTCTCACCATCATTATATCTTCTTTATAATATTCCAAATAGCCATCATTTTCTTTAGCTATTGGCCAAAGTTTAAAGGATGATATGAGATCCCCTTGGCCCCAACAGATGTATTGCGATACAGAAATGATCCTCATAATCTTTTCAAAGAAGAAATATTTAATTAAACAGTATTCCACTGCTGAACTGCACCACCAATGTTTTCTGATTTAATAATAATTGGAATATGACAAAAGTAAAGTCAAGAAGAAGAGTAGATTTGGAATAATACAATTATTGAATACCTTGCAAATGAAGTTAATTCAGGAGCTAGTTGACATCCATATTGCCTTTATTGAAGTCTGCATCACAACCAAAAACCATGATCACCATTCATCGCATTATTGGCCCTATGTTCATCCTCATTTTCAAATGAATAAGTAATGTGATGGAGGGTAAAAGAGAAACGAAAAAGAGGAAAGAATACTGTTAAGTAACACAGCCAAAAAGAATTATGGGCACTGACCCAACTGAAAAGGAGATAAAAGAAATCATACCCCATGTAGCAAGTTTCCTTCAAACTTGTTGTTTTGTGAGTCCAAAAGAGGTGCAAAATGCTTTAGGAGAAATCATGTGACGCTTGAATCCTTCTGATCTGTGCTGTCCCCATTTTGTTCCTTATTGTTTCTCTCTTGTGTGGGTCTGTCCTTGAAGGGGCAAACCCTTTCTGTAAGTTGAACTACAGTAATGCTTATAAATGTGAGAATCTTTCGGTGCTTGCTTATCAGTATATAATTAGTCACAGCAACATCATAAAATAAAAATAAGTAAATAAAAATTATACAACAAAGAACAGCGCTAACCAAATTTCAACCTCCGTACAGTAGGACCCTTCTTCTGGGGGCAATTATAATCATTACACCCAAAACATTTCACATGCTATGTTTAAGGCATCACAGCTTGATCATCAATCGGATTGAAGTATCCTGTCCAAGTAGAAAATTTAGCAGTAGTCAACCTTTTGATCAAAGAAAATGGTAATCGCTAATGTTCTTGAGAACTGGGATTTGCAGATTGGTTGAAATGCCATTGAAGAAAGCTTCATTTTTCTCTGTTGAAAACTGCTTTAGGTTAACCAACCGCCGCGGTCCAAGGGCCAAAATGAGAGAAATAATAATAATGATAATGATAAATAAGATTAAAAAGTTGCCAAATAAACAAGCAAATCTTCAAACAAATTGCGCACCTCATGTGCTGATGATAGGTTCGCTAAAACATTGAAACATGGATCCACAAATACATCAAGG